TAGAGCTGGATTGGATCAAGCCCAGTGGAGTAGAGGAGAGATTTGCCACCATATCAGACTGCACCACACTAGACCTATGAACGGTTCTGCGTGGTCTTCTGAAGTCAGCCAAAGCTTGCGTCGAGTAAGAATCGGGGCCATTCGTTTGCTGGGTGCGAGGCCCAGACCTGAGTTTGGGATAAATAGTTTCCCCCGAAGTCCAGGACGGCAGTAGCGGTGAAAGAAATGGTTCCAAGCCTGCAGTCGAGCATCTGGATCCTCCACCCCGCGACACTGGACCAGGGGAACTCCCCCTCCCCCATTCAGCAGAAGTAAGGTGCACGGTAATCCGTGGGATTTTCTGCCAGCAGGAAGTTACCCGAGGTAAAACAAAACCCTGTGCACGCTGATTTAGGACTAAATACCACTGAACCTATTTAGGATTGCAAGATTGGAGTCCAGTAGCACCAATAAGATTTCCAAGGTACCAGCTTTCAGGAGGATTGGGATTGCATAGGAGAGGGCCGCAATTGCTCCTATCCGAAGAAGTGTGCTTTGCACAGGAAAGATTACACTTGGAATAAAATTTCGCTGGCCTTAAAGGTCCCACTGGATTCAAACTTTGTTCTGCTACTTCAGACCAACACGGCTACCCAACCTTAATCTATCCTAAACTCACAGCCATTCAGTGGGATTTACCAGCATACCTCTAGGGAATTTAGAAGCAGATGGTATTCCGGGTTGGGTATAAACCCTTTCTAGCTTCACCTGACCCACTGAAGAAACTTCGGGTTTTACTACGCTGCGCCTGAAAAAGATCTCTTGAACGCTGAGTGGTGTCCCCCCTCTTTAGAGGATATATCTCAGTAGTCATACAGTCACATCCAACATCTTTTAAAAGAAATACTGCAGTTCACTCCATTTATGATAGGAATCGGTTGTCTCCTAGGGCACTTGGTGGGAATGCGCAACTTTCTACTGGGAAAAACAGAACTTGCACACCACTCGAATTTAAGAGGATTTACAACCTGTTCCAGCTTGGATTGAAAGCTGTATTAATCGGACTGGAGCCAAAATGGCGTAACGTCAATATCTTGGTTTAAAGGGGCTGTGAATCCGGCTGATCCACCTTCGACGCCGGACACATTTGGGTGATTTTAATGGAGCTGCATCCCAAGGCAATGCGTCTTGGACTGCAGCCTAGCATCCGGATCCAGAACGCAGTACATGGAAGGGTGCTTCACGGAGATCAACTGGTGCAATTTGCTATTTAGGATTGGCCGATGAGTCCCACTGAATTCTGCAGGCCTGTTTCAAACTCAAGCACTTTCTGAGTTCACCCAGTAGGGAATCCGATTGCCCCGAAGAGCGCACCTTTGATTCCTACCCCTTACACCAGTGGAGTCAATATGCAGTATTTGGAAGCAAGTTCCTCTAAAAACAACAACAGTGGGACTTGCTTGTAAACAATGGACACGATGCAGCCTAAGTCTAAATGTTAATGACAGGGTTTCAGCGGCACATCCTCAAATCTCTCTTCCTGAAACGTTTAGATCAATGTTGTTCGAGACACAGCATAGTTGGTGGGGAGATGGGAATACAAACACTCCTCCTTCATTCCATGGAGAGGCCTTTCTACAATAAAGCATCGCCCATGCAAAAAGTGCTACAATCCATCTGAACAGAGTCATGCGTCCTATCTTCAGGGGAACTTGAGTTGGACAGAAGGACATCTACAGATCTCTCGATGGTTGCCTGAACGTATATTCGAAATGTCGACTTGTTTCAACTTCTACCTCAGTTTCTATCCCCGCCCCTCCAGATCGGCTTGCATCTCCCGCAAGCCATAATTTTAGACTAGGAAGCTTTGGCCTCTCAGCAATGTATACCTAGACAATGAAAAAGCTGGGTTGGTTTCACAGGGTCGAAAAAGCATCCAGAACAGGACATTTAATAATACTGAACCAAGCTTGATAACGTGATCTTAGGGAGGAGGCATAAGAATTTTACCAACTCTTTGTTTTTCTCTTGGCCTGTAGGGAATATTCCATCAAAGCTGTCGATTGTTCGACTAATACTCCATCCCTTATTGAGTATTTGAAATTACTGTATTCCAAAATTCTGCGTCAGCCGTGTTATACATACAACGCTCAGTAGGCAAGCCACTTTACTGCTTCTGTTTTGTACCCACTTCCATGGAAGTAAATCCTGTTGATACCCGCTGGACTTTCTTGCTAGTAAAGAGATAATTGGCTGCAATCACACACACTCAATAATCCACTTTCAATGCACTTTCCAACTGGATTTCACTTTGCGAACTGGCAAAATCCAGTTGGAAGGTGCGCTGAAAGTGGATTGAAAGTGGATTTATTTAGTGTGTGTGATAGCAGCCTTAGTCTGGAGCGCAACCAGGCTGGTGATGGTGAAGCATTTAACAGCGCCTCACAGTTTCATCTATTTGAGCAGGTCTCATCCTACAACAACATTCTACTCGCAAGTAAATCCCACTCAAGTCCATAGGGTCACCTCACCTCCCCAAAGTAAATATGTTCAGGATCGGGGCAGTAGGTGGCTGATTAAGGGACCGGTGGACCATCACTGTGCCTGTGTGAACTAGAGGACATGGTCCAGCAGACTTAGGCTTCTCTCCCTCTGTCTGCTGATTCGCCGACTCTGCCTACGCTCTCAGGACGGGTTGTGCGGGAGGCTGGTGAGCGACTCCCTACTCTCAGGGTACTCAAAAACCAACACTGGCTTAGGCTCACATCGCTTTCAAAGCGTTTCGCCGCTGACAATTTACGATGTAATTAATTGGAGCAAATATTAAGGAGGACCGGTGTTGCCTAAGGAAACAAAACGGCGGCAACAACGTTTAAAGGCTCTCCGGATTTTAAAGGAAGCGGCTTCAAACTGGGGAAGGAACTGTGCGTTTCGTTCCCGAGCGCGAAGTAATTAAAAGACAGGCTTCGGGTAATCAGAAGGCCGACCGCTTGGGAAAGGGGACCTGTGGAGTCCAACCTTATTCGTGACTACTCGGGAGTAAGCCTGGCTTAAGTCAATGGGAGTTCACTGCTTGGTCAAAGGCTGCAGCCGGGGCGCCCCATTCTCAGCATGCAGCTTCCCGGAGAGTAAGTTTCAGCAAGTTGGGTTGACTCTGGAGTAAGGCGCCACAGGATCGCAGCAGTAGACGAATCTGAAGCGAGTCAAACGTTTTGAGTAAAAACTGGGCTTTTTCTTTTTCCCGGGGGGTGGGATGGGGTGGAGACATCGGAAAAGGCCTGGTGGTTCACATCACAGGTCTTCGGTAAGAGGAAGAGAGGGACTCGAGTGCCGAAACCGTGCGCCCCAGCGCCGCCCGCGTCTCCGAGAGGTGCTCTGATGATGAGTCCAGTTTTGGCACTCTTTAGCCGCCTCTGCATTCCCCATTTGGAGCCAGCCTCCTAAACCGGCTCCACCGAGTGCCTCCCCGGACCGCCTCCCCTGAACAGCCTCCCAACAGCCGCCTAGCCTCAGCGCTTTCTCTCTGCTCTCCATCGCGCTCCATTCCCGGCCTCCCCCACCCCCCTTCACCTCAGTAACCTGAAAATCGGTGCGAAGGGATCGGGACCAGTGTTCCCTATAAACTGAGTTAGTGTGAGCTAGCTCAGTTTTTTAGCCTCCAGCTCACACATTTTCGTCTTAGCTCAGGAAGGATGGCTCCAGAGCAAACTAATTTATGCAGTAGCCAAATCGCTCGCTCACAAGTTGAATGCCAGAAGCTCACAAAGTAGAATTTTTGCTCAGAAGACTCCACAGCTTAGAGGGAGCATTGATCGGGACCAATTCTGCAAGCTCCGTCCCTAAGCAAAAGGTGACTTGGGTGGAGACCGACACGCGCAAACCATCTTTCACGACCCACTTTGTTCCAGGGAAGGACTTCCCCAGGAAAGTATTTCCGAATTGCAAGCGTCCCTGGCTTGCAACACTCAGAGAACGCAGTCTCCTGGAAATAACCCCCCTAGATTAGCGCGGGATTTACTTCCGAGTCGACCTATCACTCCCTTGTGTCTACGATGGAGCGCCACCAGGATTTGCGGATGGGGTTTGCCTAAACGCCCGCCCCTCCGCTCAAAAGGTTTCGTCCAGAAGAAAGCAGCCGCCGGCTTCCACCTTGACAAGGGAGAAACCGTCTATAATCGCCAACTCTCCAGTCCTCCCAGGCCAAAAAAAAAAAAAAAAAAAGCAATCAAACAAACAAAAAACAAACACCGATATTTATTTTTAAGAAATGTATTCTGCATTCAATACATATCATTCAGACACCACATTATATACATATACAAGACACCCCCCCTTTCTTAAAAAAAGGGATCGCTTTAACATGGCGAAAGAACACTCACTGCTCTTAATATGATATAGAAAAAATAATAATAAAACGGAACAAATATCGAGCACTTTCCATACTGTCGATGGAGAATAAAACATTCCAGTTCTATAGCGGAAAAAAACAAAACAAAGAACAATAATAACAATAAATCAACCCCCAGTGAGAACATATTCCAGGAAAAAGAAAAAGACCAAAAAAAAATGCAGGGGCACGATCCATCCAGAGTTAAGCATGATTAAATCCTATTTCTGTTAGTGGAAGAGCCAAGCGCATCGCTTGAGCCTCTCCCACCACGATCCAGTGGACTCGGAAGTGGTTATCTTTGGCTGGATCCTGCCTTTGGAATTTCACCGCCAGTCGCCTTAAACGCAGGACTGGCAACACCATTGGCCGGTGTGCCTGGAGTGAATAAAATCAAAGGAAACGACGACGACGACGACAAAATAATAATAATAATCATCTCACGATAGCAGCCTCATTTCTCATGATTTTTTTTTTCTTTTTAGGTCCACCGTAAGGAAACAAAAGGAAATCTAGGGCATCTTTATTGGAACCGCTGTGATTACGTTCTTCATATATATATATATATATATATGTATTTATATATATTCTTATATAATTTTTTTTACAATAGAAACAACCAAAGGAGGGGGGGAGAGGGAATCTTTGATCGGTGGTAAGGGGAGACGGTGTGTGTGTGTGGGAAGACAGCGCTATCAAAGACCACTCCGAATCCCAAAGGTCACAAAATCTACATACGACTTTCTCTCGCGCTCCCCCCCATTCAGTGGGCACTGGAAAATATATAAAAAAGGGGGGGGGATGTTTCAGAAGGACGACCGGATTCACAGTTAAAGACGGCAGTACATGGAAAGAAAGAATAAGCCAAAGATGGCGATTAATTCTTCTTCTGGCTCCCTTCTCGGTTTTTTTTTTAAATAATCAAATTAATTAGCAAAGAGTTCGAATGCGCTTTCTCATTTATACAAATTTCTCCGATAAATATTTGCATTTGCTTTCCCCACCTCTCCCCTTTGCGTGAGTGTGTGTGTGTGTGTGTGTTTCGCTTGCCCCCCGAAAGATCTCTTTTGTCAGGTCGCGTGGAGGTGAGGTGTCTTAGATTTGCTAACCACCTTCTTCTCTTTCACCCGGCGGTTCTGAAACCAAATGGTAACCTGGCGTTCGGAAAGGTTAGTGGTCGCCGAAATCCTTCTCCGCTTCTCTTTGGTAATGAACTTGCTGGCGGCGTACTCCTTTTCTAATTCTTTCAGCTGACGTGTAGGGGACTCGTTTCTTTCGGCCCCTACGGTAGCTGCTCACTTCGGGCTGGAGAGGGACCACATCTGTAAAGGTGAGAACAGGAAAGGAAGGAGGAAGAGCAGGAGAGAAAGAGAGAGCGCAGAAAGAAAAAAAAGACAAGACGGGAGAAAGAGAGAGAAAGAGAGGGTGTCTGTTATATTATGTAGAATCTTTTGAATAACTGGACAATGTCTCTTCCGGAGATTATGAAAAGGAGCTCAAGAGGAGAAAACAAACCGGGTGGGGGGGAATAAAGGAAGATGAAAAGGCTGAGAAAAGAGGGGGCAGGAAAGGGGAAAGGAAGAAGAAGAAGGAAAGGAAAAAAACTCAAAGAGAGAAAAAGGAACAGAAAAGGCCTGGCGTGGAAGGCGGGTGCCTGAGCAGTGTATTAATATATTAGCATGGGGTAAGTGCTTCTATTCCAGGCCGGATTTGTCCAGGACAGCTATAAAGAAGGAGCAGCAAGTCACGGATTCGGCATCTCGCAAGCGCAGAGCCCCTAATACGAGCTCCAAAATTAGTCAGAATGGGAGACAGGGTTCTACCCAGCCTTCACCTCCTCAACTCCCCCTTTCTAAAGCATCCGAGGGTATTTTAATCGGTCCCCTGTAGATACTGATCCCTCTGCTGGCTTGGGTGCGGGGATGGATTTAGAGAATCGGCCCTGGAGATGGGTCCCGAACCCTGTGTGTGCCCCTCTGTGTGTGTGTGAGAGAGAGAGAGAGAGAGAGAGACTTTGATACTCTCTTCCCTTACAGATCTAAGCCACAGAAAGACCATTCAGTTGGAGGGACCTTGGACGGCTATGGTCGCATCTTGTTCTCACTGATGGTAGACGCATTAAAAAAATAAAATAAGCCTACCGATCTGGGAACTGGTGCTTGCCTGAAAAGCGCTCCCGCTGTTAAGAGATGTGACCCACCCACCCCCACCCTCGGTGCAGAATGGGCTGGAGAATCAATGAATTCTCATCGTCCTTAATGCCTGGTCCCCTATGCTAAACCTGGTCCAGGGCCACTCCTATGATTGACTGTAATCCCTCCCGCGTCAGCCCCCACCCCTCCGACCGACCTCCTCTCTGAGCTTCCAGAGTTTATGGAGAGCCAACATGAAGGCTTATCGCTCCAGAATAAATTTTTAAAAATCATAATGGAAACACCGGATGGGGTGTGTGTGAATCCTATAGCCGCAGAAAGAACCTATCTTAAAAACAGTTGTTCTGGTTACCCAGTTTCCTAACAGGTGAGCGAAACCATCTCTGGTGGCTTTTGAAGACACCCTTCTCTAGGCTTTGGAGCTGGGACACTTCTCCTCTCCCTCCTCCTCCTTTGGGTTTTAGGAAGATTTTTCGTAGGGTTTCTGTCAAGGCCCAAGCCTGGTGTGTAAAGGACGGGGATTTTTTTGGGTCCTGCCACAGACGCAAAACTCTAACAATGACCGATTCTGAGGGGGGGATCCAACCCCCCCATAAAACAATAGGGCTCTACGAAAAGAAAACGGGAGCAGAGTCAAGGAGGGCGAGGGCAGCGGCGGAGGTGGGGTCACGGACGACCCATGCGCTCCCCACCTTCCTTCGGAACAACAGCACCTCGCCGAGTTCCCCTTTCAGCCCGAGCTGCCTCCAATCCAGGCGAGACAAGGCTGTCCAGGGGGGACAAAGGGGATTCCTCCTCGCCACACCAGCTCTCCAGGTAGCGTAGCGAACACAAGAACGGCCCTGACCGTCCCCGAGGGACCGTCCCCGCCTTCTTCGAGCAGCATTTTGAGAAAGAGCCATCCTCACTCGCCTTCCCAGCGACAAACACTGCAAAACCTATATAGGCCTCCTTTCCCTCCTCCTTCTCCTGGCTAAATTACTCTTCCTATAGGAAGGGAAAACCCATCATGCAACGCTCAGGCATTGTTGGCAAGCGCTGTCCTATCTGATAGGACATTCCCCCACTCCAGTATTCCCGAGGCCAATTCATTATATATATATAATTTTATATATATACAATTTTGCTCCCTCCCTGGGTACTTTATCTTAACGTTTGTGCTCCGACCATTGAGAGAGCCCTCGTTACTTGATTCCCAGGTGGGGACCCCAAGAGCAAAGGGACATCTCCCTTTGATCTTTCATCTCAACCTCCCCCCCCCCAGCCCTTAGCAGTAAGCTAAGCCCGAAGCGCTCCTGCTTTTTCAGGGTTACCGTCAGGCTGTCAGTCATCCGAGATTTCTAACCCAAGGCAAAAGCATCGCCCTATTTTCTCTCCCCTCTCCCGCTCCCCCCCACTCCTCTTACAAGATTCATTTGTTAGATTCATGTCACTTGACAGCTACTTCTGTAATTGCAATATGATTTACTGTATCTTCCCGAAACACCCCAGCCTTTCTAGCAAAGCGAGAGGGGGGAAGGGGGAGGAGGGAGGGAGGGAGAGAGTCACTAACTCTGGCTGCGTTCAGAAATGTGGGGTTTAATATCTTTTTAAAAAAAAATGCGAAAGCGAAGATAGAGATCAAGCCTAGTGAGCCAACACAGGGAGGCAGGGAGGGAGGGAGGCAGGGAGGGAAGAAACACAAAATGCACACAGGCATCGCTACTGGCAAACTGGCTGTGAAAGCGCCCTGGATTTCCAAGGTATGTTTGCTGGATTGGCAACCCGGTTGCTTCACCTTCGTCCCCGTACGTGCCCAAGCAAGCGCTCCGAAGCCAATTTTACCTGGGCGGTTAGGTTCCAGCCTATGCACGCGAACATGCCGGATTTGGAGGGGGGGGGGGAGAAAGAGAGAGAAAGCAGCAGAAGCGGAGCTCAGAGCCGCCTACCTGGGAAAGGCGATTTCCAGAGATGGCTCGACTGTGACTGCTCTTTCGAGCAATAGACCTGCCCGTCCCAACCATTGGACAGAGCCCAGTGCTGGTATCCTTCCATGGGAAGCAGCGCGTCGTGCCTTGGCTCGGGGTGCCCACTGATACCTGGGACCACTGATACGTCCAAATAACCAGGGACTGCCTGGTAGGAGCTGGCAAAGCTCGGGTAAAAAGCGAACTCTTTGGCCCTTGAGGATAGTTCTTCGCTGGGGAGGGAGCCGCTGGGCTCGGGGTATTTTTCGGCGGGGTGGTAGGAGCAAGGCTTCTGTTGTAAGTTCACGTTGTGGGAATGGGACAAGCGGCATCCGTAGTAGCTGCCTCCAAAGGGATAGCCATAGCCCAGGGTAGCGTTGGACGAGGCTGGCGGAGCCGGGCACTGCCGGGCGGCATCTGGCGCAGGTATATCCGGGTAGACAGAGCCCTGGTGAGTCCCAATGGTGCTGGAATGACGACCCAAGACCGGGTGAGTGATTAAATCCCTGCAGTGGCTCGCTGGGCAGTTCCCACTTAGCCCATCCATGGCTGGGATTTTATTCTGGTTATTTTCATTCGGGTTCTCCTCATACACGTACATGAAGGTATCCGCCCAGCGTGGATGCAAGATCAGTGAAGTCGTCATAGCATGGTCTGCCCGAGCTTTTTAAAACTCGACTTCCCAAAGAGAGACACCTAATTTCCCCAACATATTGTTTACGCGGGAGCATGCGCAGAGCCGGCGAGATGGGTCCGCTTCATTAAGAAATCCGTCGGGCCACGTGACCTGTAAATAGCGCTCGCAGCGGCTAGCCCGGGCACGTGACCCTCCGGCGGCCCAATCGCCGTCTCCCTGTTGGCTTTGGGCAGGGAAGGGGGAGCTCCCATTGGCTGCCTCCCTGCAACAGAAACAGAAATCCTTAAAGGCGAAGGGAGACACCCATTGATTGTAAAGATCGTGAGGAAATAAATAAGGGGGGGTGGAGGTGCTCGATATTTGGCCGACACAAAGAGCTTGGGGTTTGCCATGATAGAATTCTTGCCGCTTTGGGGGAAAAATCCTCTTTGTTAAATATATAGCCAAATATCTGGAATACTTTAAATTTCTATTTTTTTATTTTAGTTTTTTTAAAAAACCTTATTGTATTGTGATTTTACATTTGTTGAGTCTAACTGTGTTTTCTCATTAAAATGGCTACGTACTTGATTTATGAAAATGGGTTGGTGCAGGAAGCAAATCTAGTCATTGTCATAAATAAGGCGAATGGTTATCAGAGGAGGTGGTACATAGAAGCCCATTGATCTGATGGGGGGGGGGAAGAAAAAGAGATAATAGGACTAGACGCGTCGAAATGGGGAGACACATCCAGTGTTCCCGAGGAGTATTTAGAATCTGACTGTCTGACTTCAGCGGCTGGGTGTGTGCGTGGAGGTGGCTTTTTGTTTTAATTCTCCAGCTCTGCTCTTGACTCGCTCTCTCTCCCCCCCCCCTTCTGTTTCTGGGAATCAAGTATTGGATCTTACGGGAAGTAAAGAATCTGGACATTTATCGCCCAGGAAATTGATTTTGTCTCAGTCTCTTTCGGTCTCATAATCTCCAGAGTGAATGGAGAGATTCATATGAGTTGCTTCAAATATATGTGTGCGTTTGTGTGTGTCAACGGATACGTTTGTTCCATACCATTCTATATGTATTTTCAAGCCTCTGGTTTTTCTTCCCACCAAAGGAAGCCTTTGAAATCTTTTGATCCCTTGTCTGATTCCTGGAGAGGAATTTCTTTTTATTCGTCTCAACCACCCAGTGATAAGGTCTTGGGGGGGGGGGCGCGGGAGGAGAAAGGGAAAATTACCATCACATCCGAAGAGTGTAATAGATGCATCCAAAAAACGTTGCAACATTTTTATGGGTTTTGTTCCTTGTATGAGTCCAGCCCAATAATGCTTAATCTTTCGTGCTCAACCAACTGGGGATGTTTTAAAGGGACTGGTTGTGATTATATTATGATATTATGTTATTAATGTTTAATACTTCAGTAGTAAATATCGCGGCAACAATGCCTGCCGCTGAACGGTCGGGGTAGATATAAATGGTCCCGGGGTTGATTTGTGTGCGTGTAAAAGACAATAAATGCAACTCACTTTCTACAACCTAAAGAGGATCCAAGACGGATGGGTTATAATTAAAGAGAAGAATCGCATACTCCTCTGCCAGAGATTGATGGCCACGCTGCACATCCATGCACACATGCAGGCAGAGACGCGTGTGGGGACGGGAGCAGTTGTTTGCGTTTATTTACTTGCTAAAAAAAACTCCCAAATCTCTCACTCATAGTTGCGGTCTCGATGCAGGCAAATCCATTCGACAGGAGGTGGAATTAATATGGGGATATCAATAGGCTATCTTGGGTTCTTCACCTACCTCCCGCTGGGCCACCAAATCAGGAAAGGCATTTTTAAATAAAGAAATGCAGCCAAAGGTGAGATGAGATAGTCCAAGGAAATTATGAGGGAGGGGGTGTCCTGCTGGCCACAGTGAAAGCAGGCCAAGCCTAATCCTATGCATATTTATTCATAACTATGTCCCATTAAATTCAATGGGACTTTCCCCTTTCAAATAGGTCTGCATCAGATTGCGATTTTAGATGGTTGAAATCCCTTTGAAGTTAAGGAAGTCCCAATGCAGCGAGAGTCGCTCCAGTGATCAAAATGGTTACTAATTGAGTGTGAATGTCCGGGGGGGGGGGAGTTGTCCAGCATCACCCCTCCCCCAAATGATTCCATTGCGATCCGCAATAGATTCGGAGCGACCAAACCGGGAAGACAGGTGAAAGTCCAAGGTTTTGTTGAAAGCGATCAAGAGGCAGAAGGAATTCAGAAAAGGTAGGTGCCATACCGAGATCTATTCACCGAACTGGACAGAACCGCTACCTACCACATTGGGATGTGCTACCACATTGAAATCTTCAAGGAGAATTTCAATATATATCTGTCTATCCCAAATGGTTCCTTTCCTGCCTACCGTAGCTTTTAGCACCTCCAAGGTCCTTAGGGCTTGCCGCCATCAAAACGCCTTAGCCCAAGCGGAAACGTGAAAACCCAGCCCATTCTCCAGCAAGATAAAAATGAAAATTAAAAATGGCTATCAGATCTGCCGGCCTTAGCCAACCTTGCCTTTCCTCTCGGAAACGTTCTGTCTTCCACAGGGACCGACGGATTTAAACCAAGCTTCCCCGGGAAAGTTTTCGGCCACAGCCTCAAGCCACCAAACCAGCCGAAGTCCAAGGTCAAGGCAAAATAGACAAACCGGCTCCCGGTTAGTGTCTAGACAGAAAAGAATGAACTTCACAGGCAGCGTCTAAGTGGCTGTGGGAAGAAGCCCTTGAATCCGGCCATGGCTAAGGAGAGAAAGCAGGAAATGGTCCCCACTCCCCCCCCCCTTTTTAAAAATCATTCCAATTCTTTAAAACAAAGGGGCAGGGAATCTTTACTTTGCAACATGCCGTTTGATAGCAACAACCCAACCCGAGGTGCTTCGGTAGATTTCGGTGTCCTATCGATGCATCCCCCTTCCCTTTCCAGACATCCTTCATTAAAAATACTTGGGGATAGGTGGGTAATTAAACTACACCAAGCCTGCATGTGGGGCGGGGGGAGAATGCAGGCATAAAAAAACCTGGGCTTTTGGTTTAGATGATGGCACTTGGAGGGGGAGAGCTGGACCATCTCTGGTGGTTCCTGACAAAGGAGTTTGTCCCCCCCCCCGCATCTTTCTGAAGAGTATTTGGGGTTTGCCCATCGGAAATCTGGAAATGCAGAAATGGCTGGTGAGAGGCGCGATCGGTTAGAGGAAACCAGAGGAGCAGCCTGGCTTTTTGAATTTCTGCTCAGCAAATTAGATCTGCTTTGAAACACTGGAGGTGATTTCCCTTTTTTTTTCTTTTAAAGGTGCGCATCCTGAGTAAAACGGACAAAAGTAGTAAATAAGAAGAGCAGGCCAGATCTTTCCCAGGTTTATGTAAGACCATTTACAATTCCTATTTCCATGAAATATAGATTTAATTAAAATTGGGATTTTACAGTTTCCATTTACTGGGGCTCATTGCGAGAGGAAAATTAGGAAAACATCGGCGGAAGGGGGGGGGCAGAGAAAACAAACCGCAGAGAATGTTCCCCATTTCATGCGCAGGGAAATTAACTTTTCGCTTTAAATTCTGATTGGCGCAATTGCAAAATAAATAAGGACAAGAGAATCTGGCTCTTTGTTAGGAAATGCAATATTTTAAAAGCTGGGGAAAGGAGGCGGAGGGGTGGGGGAGAAGATGCATTTCTTAACCAGCAGGTTTATTTCGGGGCCTGGCGTCCCTCCTCATTTATCTGCCTTGACTTAAGCAGCTTTTCATTTCATAAATTGCTTCGCAGTATCTCATTTAAACGGGCTGATCTGGCCAAGATACGGGAGCGGTGGATTGATAGCGCGAGTCAATTCGAGTGGGTTAATTAACTTAAGGATGCACAAGGAAGCTTCCACCGCTCGGGGAAGAACACCCTGCAGAACGCAGGACACTATTTTTAAATTGGGGGGGGGGAGGTTAGAAATAATAACAGATACCGGTTTCCTGGAATATATTAGAATCCGGTGTTTGCTGCTGCAATTGCCCCTAAGGAATGAATCTCCCTCCTCTTCCTCAGGGTAGATTGTAGTTACATTGACATCCGGCTTTATAGACACCATCTTCTGGGAGGACAATAGGGAGGAAAATTGTAGTAACCTATCCCTTGGAAAGGAAAAAAAAGGAAAATGTCCTACAGCTCTATCCCGTACAGGTTTACTTGAAAATAATTCTCACTGTTCCACAGGGCTTACTCTGAAGCGCCTTAACACCCGTGGATTTCCTTGGGATTCACTTTTCGAGTAAATATGCTGTGAACCTGGCTGCTAATGACTGAAGATATGTAGCTCCGTCTCAGTGGAAAATATGCTTGATATGGGCAGGAGTGATGCTTTAAAAAAATTAAAATGCCTAACTTCCAGATTGGAAAAGAGAGAGAAGAACAAGGAGATGGGAAAGGTGAAGAATCCTCTCTGTGAATCTGAGGACAGGCGACCAGTTCCACCACCACCACCACCATCTTTGTCAATAATAGTAATAACTGAGGATAGCGCTGCCCGTGTTCTAAAGTTCTACAGGCTCATTAGTTCCTTGATATTTTGATATGAAGTCTATGCTCAGAATAGGCACAGGAGACAGGTTTTTTTAAAAAACAAAGCAGGAAAGGAAAGAAAGTCCCTCAATTTATTATTTTTCTTAAAAAAAGAGAAGCTCAGTGCCACCTCTAAACAATGGTCAAGAATTCATCACACTGCCCCTTCCTTTGGGGCTGCAGTATAGTTGCAGGGGGACAGAAACGAAAGGCTGCAAGGCTTATTTTTCCAGTGTATTATAAGGGAACTTGTGATAACTGGAGGGACTTCACAGCCTGTGGGAAAATAAATAACGATTTTCCAGGGAGTACAGTATTACAATGTAAACCAAAGGCTGGGGGAACCAGCCTCAAGTGATCCCACATCAAGGCACGAATCTGTTTCCTTCAACATTCCTTTCACGCTAGGAACCGATTTTGGAATTTTATCTACTCCCCTCCCCAAGTAAGAAATATGTTTAAAATAAATATATGTTGTTGCACCTAAGTTTCCTT